AATACGAGTGCGAACGAACTTTGAAATTTGATCGTTGTTCATTAGTCAATTCGTATTTTACAAAGCTCATGTCATTAGATTACACTTTTTGAAATTTGAATACACGTACTTGTATCCCACGATATTAAAGTACACTATATATACATGATTACTCCGATATAATATGTTCGTTACAACAGTGTACTAAACAGATGGAAAGTTATCGCTTAACCAAGGCAGAATACAATGTCTGTATCAGGCAAAGTGGATATAAACTACCCTTGTAACTATGGCGGTTTGTAAATCTACTCCACTTTGTTTCTAGAGAAAACAGCAACAGTGCGATGTTAGCTTCCGAGTGGTTTATGTATTATATCTTTTAATTCCACTCCTACGATATTCTCTTCCTATGCATATACATATATGTACATTACGCATACGTACGTAAGGAGATAACACTAAAAATTTTACACGCTGTTTGTTATCAAGATTTTGCTTCTGTCGGGGATAACCTTATGTCTACTGCGTAGTGGTACAGGGTGAGCCCGACTGTTGGAATGCATGTGGATTTATTGCCTTTTATATGTTTTTATTAACGATTGCTAGTATTCTGCGTGTAATCGTGGATGCAGTGGCATTTTTCATATGACACAATTCCACGCGTTATATTTCAACCCTTTAAATTGTCAAACGGCAATTTACTGTTTAATAATTGTTTAACAATGAATTATGAGATGGGTACAGATGATGGTAATCGTGCGTGATTGCGTAACAAGACATAACGCATTAATTCGACGCTACGTTATTAATTGAGAGTATTAAAGAGGATTGAGGGGTGGGGGTGGGGAGGGGGGTTGGGGGAATAACGGTGGTGGAGAATGGCAGAAAGGATTTGGATTATTCGTTACCCAATGGTGAGGTCATACTTAATTTATCTGCAAGCAAAATTCCCAAGAGCTACTTAATTACTGTAACGAGGGAAAATTTTTTCACACATGCTACGCGTGCACACGGAATAAATGCCACGGTGGTTGTTTCGCTTCTAGAAATTTTACTAGTTTTTTAAGTGTTATCAATTTTTTTTTTTCCGAATGTGGCTACTCTCGTGAAACTTTTATTACTGTTATTTCCGCACAGTCGGTCAAGCGTAAATATTTCGATATAGAGGACGAACCCGATTGCGAACTTTGAAAAAACATTCGTTTTCGTGACGGTTTTATTTTTTACTTTCCCTAAAATGACGATATCAGCAAAATTCTATCCTATCCGTATTTTCTCGTAACTATAACAGGTTGTTAAGAAATGGATCATGGGCATTCAAAAAATTTAACGACCTCCGCATTCAACCGTTGCTTTAGAACGTTCGGTGAAATGAAAATGAAAAAAAAAAGTCAAAATTACTACGAAAACACTGTAAATTATTTCGACAAATTTTTTGTGTGTAATATTTCTCGCTGAAGAAACTATAACTCCGATATATGTACGTATTTACATCATATTAACTCGTCATACTTGAAGGCGAATATACATACAGAAATAATAGATCGCAAGCAGAAATACTTCGAATACGTTTCAATATCCTATTTCTATATAAAGTTACTATAAATAAAGAACAGTGTGTACAGAATCTGGTAAGGAGCCACGTATATGCAATAGATAACGGGTTAACATATAATTGTTGTCTAGAACATAAAATAGCATTTCAACTCATATTTTTCTTTCGTATTCATGAAAGGTAATTTACTGCAAAAAGCTTAAAAAATTATTTCATCATGAGATAATGGAAAGCACACCGATAACGTATCAGGACACTTTCATATTGACCAACATACTTCGATCGTCCCAAATGAGTAGATCCTTCATGGACATTAAACACGCGCAAATCCTCTAACACGTACGCAGTCCTCCAGTAAGAGGATGATTCGATCAATCCTTCCCTCTTATGCTCGAATCCTCAAAAGGCCAATAAAGTCACGTTTTCTCTCTCTGTAACCTGACTGCAGAGTATTTCGAGCGATCCCCTTTCAAAAACCAAGGGTACATACAAAGATTTCACACATTTGCAGTTAATCCTCGAATGATTTTACATCATTCTGACAGGGTTCGTGTCACCCGGTGTGAAAATGGTCTTGATCGAGTTATTTCACGTCAGCACCCTTTCCGTAAATCATTTTTCATCCCGAATTATCTGAAATCCGACTGTGTCGGCTTCGCCAGGTTTCACCCCGATTCCATGCACGAAGCAAATTTGAGATATCGACGAACAACGTGAGATGAATTTAAATGGTTGCGCGTCCCGAAAACATAAACTTCTGGTAATGCCAGTAAGTGGAAAGGCAAAGATTTCTTCGACGATCGGTCCGTTACCTGCAGGGATATAGTTTGCATGATTTGCATTAAGGAGATTCCCATGCGCGATTTTGAACCGGGAACACGTGTGCACGAAACGCATTTCATTTCGGTCTGAAAAATTGGCGACTTTACCCTCCTTTGTCTTGCCGTTTATTTTCTTTACTGACGACTTAGGTAAAGTAACGTCGAGAACTTTTTCAAAGCATCGATCAATTCCACGAAAAACTTTCTTCCCCCGTGCTCTATTCCATACACTTCATTTATTTATTTCCTCCTTCCCTGTATATATATATATATATATATATATATATATATAGAATTTATATATATATATTGTATATATATATATATTTCTTTACTTTCCATGAAAAACAATATACTTTCTATAACTTTGCACAAAATTTAGGTGCACGTGCATATGTGCACATATGCCAAAACGTTCACACGTTTCAAAAGTGGAACGTAGATCGATTCCGATCGTTCCTGATTAATTTTACAGTACTAGTAAATCGTAAGCACCTAATAACTCTCGAGCCACTTTTTACCATACAGGAAACGCAAGTGCATTGATCAAAGTATTTCCATGCATTAATGACTCGAGCGGTCATCATGGCCCGAGCACGCGAAAATGCAATTTTCTGTTCTATCAGACTAATAGAGGAAATGATTAAGCCGTACGATAACGCATATATACTCAACTTCATTCTATGCATAAGTCTTATGATGCACTACGTCAGTATGCAACTCCGATGGAAGCATACTGAACGTTCGAAGCGATCGAAAAGCTCTGTAGGGAGACCGGAAAGAAATACCTGACTATCCTACTCTTGCGACCTTAATGCGGTAGAGGCGGAACTATCTTCCAGTAAAAAAGGAAAAGATAAAACTTGGAACACTTCCCTGAAGACTTCTTGCCGCGAGATGCTGAAGCCAGTGGAGTAACAATTAATCATAGAGTCGGTCTAGAGTTCGCCTAGAGCCGTGAAAGCTCGCGCGCCACTACGTGACTTCCATAACGAACTACCCCATTCATATGTCTCTACTGGAGTGACGCAGCTACTGTGGCAACTAGACAAAAAATTTTTAAGATTTTATGTAGTTGGGTAGCGTCCTGATCGTAAAGCGTGACTCTCAGATTGAACGATTGAAAGTTTTTTTTATTTCCCCCCGTATAGACACGTACGTATTATTTTTTGTAATTTTGTAAAAAAAAAATGTACAATTAAAAATTAATAACCATCTCATTGCAGTTGAAGTAAGTAACTTTGATATCTCATTATAGGCAATATTGATTATTGCCATGGTTGATCAAACATTAATATTGATGTAATGACGTATCACGTCAATATTTTCCATGGAAACCTTATAAGATATTAAATATATATATTAGGTACTTATTAAACAATTTCGCGACATTGAAACGTCTTCGTTACTGGATAAAAGGGTAACATCGTAGATGTAATTGCGAAATGCCTCGTGGTACTCGAGAACGCTGAGAGGATATCTCTGTTATCAAAGCAAAAACGCGAAGGCGCTTCGGGGTGAACGTTGATTGGAGAAGTGATTTAAATATCACGAGGAACGATAATAAAGCTTCCGTTAACGATAATTTCCGCGTCGAGGAATAGCTCAGGGACGTAATCGATAAGAGGACCGGCCAACTATGGAAAACTGTGTGTTAAGTAATCTGACACGATAATCAAATGAGTCAAGGTTGACTGGTTAACCTTGCACGACTTAGATCACACCCCCCTGATAGGGATGAATTGTTCGAAAAGTACTTACCCTTAAAGATACGTGTATATATTCATATATAAGGGGGATATACATGAGAATCAGCTGGCTGCAATCGTCTACAGCTTTTATTTGCAGAATATCAAAGAGATTGCGCAATGGATAATTAATAAATTGCGTCCAGACGTGAATGATTAAATTAGTACTTATATGTATATTGTAATTTAAAAATACAAAAAAAAAAAAATGTCCGGGCCCCTGATGCATTAGGAATTTTTACACATTTTAAAAAACACTTTATTTCAGTGTGTTTTTGTGCTCAGGAATTTAAAATGAAAATTCACTGACTTTGCGAAAGGGGTTGTACGTAAAATGACATAAATCTGTGTGTAGCTTTCTGCTCTGATCTCCATAACGATCTTCTCGGGCCAATTTCGGGGGTGAAATTACCCCTAGCGACAATCTCTGCACGTGTACCAGAGAATGATAGATAGAGGGGTGCCACTATCTAAGTAACCTGCACGTCCTTGTATTCTCATAGCAACCCTCCAATGGCACCTATAGTCCGCCAAAGGAGAACCAAGGCAATAAGGAGTGTACGAGAATTCCCATTATCGCGAACATTTTCTTACGGATTTTAGTAGTCTGGCCCTTGCTATATTTTGTACTTATGTTTAAATTTTCCAAGGGCAGACGTCGTCTGAAATTTTCTTGAACTCAGCTTTGGGTAGTGTTATGTACTTCGGGTTAAATGTATTCAACTGATAAGTACAAAAAAAATATTGTTGCAGTAGTGCAAATATTTTTGATTGTCTTATAGTAGTTATAATATATATATTTTTTAAATATATTGACGTTGAGTTATTTCTTTCATTCATTTTTTTTCTACCCTGCTTTTATTCTTAAAGATAGTATTTTCGTTAAAAATAACTCACTTTCACGTTCCCGTATTTCCAGGTGAAGAGGACGACTACTGGTAGACAGGCTATTACGCAGCATTCCAAGATAAGTATGGCAGTCCGCATAAGCCAATTTAATGATACTACACAGGGTGAACCATCCAGGCAGGATTCGCAGCCCTCGGCACAGGGTAGACACTCGAATACGCCATCCACAGCATATTGACTCTCTTCACCCTGTTGAGAAAAAAAGCATTAAGTCAAAAGTTTGAACTTGGGCCAATCCTTATTGGGGATTGGTTCAAGTGATTTTATGAGTTTTCAAATTTCATTTGTTTTTTTATTAATGCTAATTCAATCAGTCAAAGAAGATTGAGGAGTAACCTTTGGGCTTCTAGTTTGTGAAAAATCTTCAGAAAAATTGGGTAAAGTTATAAAAATCATTTTTAGGCATTCAAGCTACCTTCATATCTTGAATTATACATATAGTACCGCCATATATTACAGAATATTTTATGAATTAAGTGTCTGATCGACAATCGCGCTTTCAATTTCTCTTTTTTTTTCTTGATTCAAAGAAACTACAGTCCGCTCTTAGAAAAACAACATTATCATTGAACAAGATCGATACCGCCGTAGTCTGACAGTATCCACATATGAGGCTACACGAATATATCATTGTAATTTAATAGACGTATCGCATATGATTAATGAGGAGTCAGTCTGAAAAAAAGCTACGTTATTAGTTTATTACTATCTATAGGATCACGTGATATCTTCCTAAGCTTTATTTTCCTTCGAAAATATAGATAAAAAGACTGCAAAGAAATTTCGATATTTTATCTTTACAGGGAAAATATAAAAAATATCTTTTATTTTAATAAACATTATTATTTTGGATGCTGGATATTTTATCGGATTCGAGAAAACTTTTAAAAATCAACCAAAGAAATTTAAGTCTAAGTCTCCTGTGACATATTATAGCTGAAGTGCATATCTTGCACCACCACTGAAAAGTTAAAAAAATTGAATTGATCAGACGATTTAATTTAATATTATATCTTTACTCAAAATCCATATTTCTATAGTACGATTGACAATCGAATTAATCACAAAGCTCTTTGATTCTCCTATATCAATTTCTTATCCATACTTCGTGCTTTATTTCGCTAATTAACCAAATTACCTCGTACCCATTCGACATCCAGGCACACAAATTAATTGGCAAGAAACAAAGAACACAGGGGCACAATATGCCATAGTCCTTTGCCGGGAACAACAATCTGGGTGTAAGCTAATAAATCCTTAAAGCTCTCATTTGATTGGATTGCGAAAATTAAGGACTGTGAGAACCGTATCAAGTTTCTGCGTTTATTGGACGGTGTGATATTTCCTTTTCTTACACGAAATGAAATACAGATCAAAAAGAAAACTGAGACACACGATTTTGACAGGTATCCATCTTATCATAAATCTTATACAATTTTCATAACCATGCATGGCATTCTTTACAGAATAAGAACGAACAGGGCATTGTTATTCGATACTACACGTTCAAAATGGAAATCGAATATTTTTTGTGAAAAATTATTATTTATTTATTAAGAATGCTGATATCTGCTCGTGCATACATAAAATATATTCTATGCTATAATAGCCAATCGATGCCATTAAAAAGTGACGTGTTAAGTTTTTATTATAATTTTCATACATCTCAGGTTTTTGTGTACACTATGTAGATGACAGGGGTTGGTCCTTTGAAACATCTAGTTTCCTTTTTGTAAGTGACAGGGTGCCAAGGGAACATGAAGTTGCTGTAGATTATGGATTACCAAAAGTGAAAAGCAAGAGAGCCTAGTATGGAAACCGATATCAAAGCATTGTTCTCGATTTAAAAAGAGGCCGGATCGAAGCGTCAATACATTGTTTGTCAGCGACAGCGTGAAAATTGTATCCGGAAACGGCCAATTTTTCGGTCAATAAATGTCCGCGTTCCACTCTGAGCTTGCAAACGTATTGTTTGCCGCGTTTCTTGCCAGAATAGGTCAACCCCCGATTGACCGTTTGCCAAATTGCACGATGCACTTCGATGACAAACAGATGCTCGGAAATCCGGCGCCGTGCCGGTGCATCGAATAATCATCAATATCGATATACGAGACAGAGATATGCAACGATAAAAGGTAACGAGCAAATTGATAATGGGAAATTATCATTGTCATTATGTCCTATGTGATTGTTACGTAATGTTGACAAAATTATTAATAACCCCATTATTGTTATATCGTTTCGTCGTTAGTCCAAATCAAGTAAATTGTATAACTCGAGTGCACATGAAATTCCGATTACAAAACTGTGACATTTTACACCTACTCGCTATTAAGTTACTATAAATTTTTTTATTTTTTCCACAACTATCTTTTAGGAATTCTAAAATTTAATTCGCTTGACTAGTCATCTTCGTTGATGCGTTACGAAGGGGTTACTAATTAAAATTGATTCGTTGAATTTATTAGGAGTGACTACCGGAAGGTCTTGTGAAATGAGTTACGACGTAATGATTAATAGACGTTTAATGCTTGTTTACATGTTCACGGCGTAAATGAGTTGTCGTGGAAAATACTTTGTAACAATAAATATGTTAAGAGGACAAAATCGTTGTTGGACGATTACAAGGATTATTTCCATTTTTTTTTAGGAACAATTTTCTGTTCGTATAAGAATATATGTATAGCTCGTTCTTTTTTAAAATTTTGAAATCTTGTAGACTAAAATCGATCCAGCCATTTCCAAGTTTCTGAGAAGTAAATTTATTGTATAATCTTCAGTCGCGAAATTAAGCGCATGAACCCTAAATACTCTAGCGGCGCTGCAACCAAAAATTGTTCAATAAATTCACTTCTCAATAACTTGGAAATGGCTGGATGGATTTTAGTCAGCAAGGTCTTAAAATGTTAAGAAAGAAACGTGCTACGAAAGAAATTTGCTTATAACAGAAAATGATGTTCCATTAAAAAAAAAAAAAAAAAAAAAAATG